CCACCATGCCCGGCTAATTTTTTCTATATGTTTTTAGTTGGCCGATTAATTTCTTTCTATTTTTAGTAGAGGAGGGGTCTCGCTCTTGCTCAGGCTGGTTTCGAACTCCTAAGCTCAAACAATCCGCCCACCTCGGCCTCCCAGATTGCTAGGATACATATCTTTTTATAGCCCCCAAAGTTATATTTTCTAGGCCAAAGATAGGCAATATTTTATTAGGAAAAAAATTAAAATGATGACAAATTGCCCTTCAGAAAGCTTATGCTGAATGGCTTTCCCATTACAGTATATGAAAATTCCCATTTCTTCAAATAGGGCAAACGCTGGATACTGTGAATCTTTTAAAATTGAACAGATCTAAAAACCTCATTATTATCATTCTATTTCTTTGATTATCAAGTAGACTGGGGGCCTTTTTATATTTTTTTTGGCCATTTATATTTCTTATTTTGTAAACTACTCTATTACATGTACTTTGTCCATTTTGTGTGGGAGGGGTATTCACTATTCACATAGAAGTCCTTTTTCTTAAATTTCTACCTCAAAAAACTAATTTTATCACCACACTAAGAGTTACTATCCAATTACCTGTTTTACAGGAGGTGGTTCCTGCTTGCTCACATCAATACGTGGCAAATCAGGGATTCCAAACTTCTCTTTGTAATACTGTCGAGTAAATGGATCGCAATCATAAATGAAGAAAGTTCTCCCAAGGATAGTAAGTGGTTTCCCAACAATGAAGTCTTTGGCAGTATACCATTCCAACACCTCTTGATCAGAGATTTCCAGCACACACCGAGGGAAGTTCTCTAATATAAAATGACGTTAGAGAGGAAAGAAGAAGAAATGAGTATGGGAAGAAAGACTGACACACAACAGCCAGGTGTTCCTGAGAACCTGGGGGAGTAGAGTCTTTTGCTCTGGTCAAGGGTCAGGGACTTCCCTACATTCCCACCAGAGCACAAGGCTGTATATTTCTATCTGTTGACAGGACATATAAATAATATTCTAGATGGCTTTTGTAAGGTTTCTGTCCCATATTCAGCTCAAACTATCACTACAAATCACTAATCTTAGCAGAATTAATGGTTAGAAGAAATCATTACAGTAGAAAAGAATAAGCACCCTTCTATAAGGATAGCATCTTAGGTCTGGGAGAGATCCAAGTAATTTAGTTCAACTTCCCACCCATTTATCCATTCATCCAACATTTTTAGTGACCACCTGTATCATCTACTGGATACCCTGCTAAATACTGGGAATACAACAATTAAAAGTATAGACACAATTCCTGCCTTCGTGAAGAAAATACTCTGTTTAGGGAGACAGATACTAAACAATTATACACAGAATGGTTTCATGGCAATTGCAATCATTGCTATTAAGACAGTGTGACCTAGTCCTGGAGGCAGGGAGCAGGGAGAGTCAGCAAGATGATTACAGTAATCCATTCATGTGGGAATCAATCATGTTTTTTAATTTTGAAGTATTAACGGGGTACAAATGTTTTTGTTACATGGATACCTCTCATAATGCTTAATTCGGAGCTTTTAGTGTGCCCATCACCTGAATAGTGTTCATTGTACATGATAGGTAGGTTTTTACCCCCTCATCCTCCCTCCCAGCCCCCTTATTGATTTCCTGTGACCTTTTCATCTCCTTGTACTCATGTGTGCCCATTGATTACCTCCCAATTATTAGAGAGTACATTTGGTGTTTGTTTTTCCATTCCTGAGATACTTCACTTAGGATAATGGTCTCTAATTCCATCCACATTGCTACAAAAGACATTATTTCATTCCTTTCCATGGCTGAGCAGTACTCCATGGTATATATATATACCACATTTTCATGAATTGACGAGTACTTAGGTTGATTCCACATCTCTGTGATTGTGAATTGAGCCGAAAGAAACATTTGAGTGCAGGAATCAATCATTTTTTAAAAGTACAATCAATCTTGCATTTTTGGAATAAATCCAATTTTGTTGTACTGTTTTATGAGAACTAAGGGTTAACTTGTTTAAGATTGATTCCCTGCAGCCTGGCCTCCATGGAAATCATAAGAGTCACTTAGTTCTGGTAGAGTGTCACATCTTATAGCTGTAACCACAAAACTTTGACACAGAACCACTATCACATGGGAGATAAGAAATAGGCTGTTATTCTCCTGACTGGTAATTACTAAGATTGAAAAATAGGAAGAAGGCTTAGTTTCTGCTGTATCATACATAAAGGCTTGAACTCCAGCCCTTGATGATGGGAAAGGATGGGCTGGTATTTCCCCAACTGTGCATCTTAAAAGCTCTACAATCCAAGGGATCCTTCTCCTAATGTCTAGTGCCTAACCCTACAAGATTCCTTCGAGCTGCCACAGGAAGTAATGGGCAACGGGGTATATAGCTCATGACTACGTAAGTTTCCCTCAGTATACCATATTCCAGGAGATCTGGTATATGTGTGTGTGTGTGTGTGTGTGCTGTCCAGCCATTTGCCTTTGTTTGCTCAATAAATTATTTTTTTTCATACACTGCTATATTTGGTTTACTGATATCTTGTTTAAGATTGGTGCATATATCTTTATACATGAGGCTGGCTGTAGTTTTTCTTTCTCAGGGTATCCTTGGTTTCACTGACTTTTTTAAATGGATGAATTAAGGAGTTCTTTATTTTTTTTCTGAATAAGTTTGTGTTAAGCTTGGAATTATGTATTCTTTAAATGTTTGACAAAAATCCTCTGTAAAATTATACGCACCTGGTGTTTTCTTTGTCGTAAATTTTTAAACTGAATCTATTTCTTCAATGGTTAAAGACATTTGGTTTTCTATTTCTTCTTAAGTTATATTTTTCTAAAAATTTGCTCATTTTACCTAAGTTTTCAAATTTATTGGCAGAAAGTTGTTGGTATTATTTTCTTATTTTATGTTTAATCCCTATTACATCTTTAAGAACGCCTCCTCTTTCATTTTTAATATTATGTACATGTGTCTTCTTTCTTTCATCCCTTAATAAATCTTGTCAATACTTGTCATTTTATTAGTCCTTTCGAAGAAACAACTTTGGGTTTGACAAATCTTCTCTGCTAACTTTGTTTTCAATTTTGCTGTTTTCAGGCTCTTGTTTTATTATTTCCTTCCTTTTAATTTCTTTAGATTTTAACTTTTTAGATTTCTAACTTGTTGAGAAGTATGCTTAGCTTATTTATTGTCATCTTTCTTCTTTCTTAAATAAACATTTAAAGCTATAAATTTTTCCCCAAGTACAATGTTGGATGTTATCTAATTTTCTGTCTAGATGATCTGTCTAATACTGAGAATGGGGTGTTGAAATCTCCAACTATTATTGTATTAGAGTCTGTCTCTCTCCCTTTAGACCTAATAATATTTGTTTTCTATATCTGGGCACTCTAGTGTTACGTGCATATATGTTTAGAATTGTTATATCCTCTTGCTAAATTGATCCCCTTATTATTATATAATGACCTTTTTTGTCCCTTTTTACTGTTTTTGACTTAAAGTCTGTTTTATCTAAGTATGGCTCATTTTGGTTTCAATTTGCATGGAATATCTTTTTCTATCCCTTTACTTTCAGTCTATATGTGTCTTTATAGGTGAGATGAGTTTCTTATGGGCAGTATATATCTGAGTCATTTTAAAAATCCATTCAAATCCATTCAGCTAGATATATCTTTTAAGTGGAAAGTTTAATCCATTCACATTCAAGGTTATTACTAATATGTGAAGGTTTGCTCCTGTCATTTTTGTTACTGAGTTTTAACAGTCATTTTATATATCCTATGACAAGTACTTTGTCAAATATGTTTCACAAATATTTTCTCTCAATCTTTAGGTTCTCTTTTCATTTTCATAATAGTGTCTTTTGAAAAGCAAAAGTTTTAAATTTCAATTTTTTCTTTTATAGCTTGCAGTTTTTGCATTTAAGAAATATTTGCTAAACCCAAGGTCACTAAAATTTCCTATGTTTCCTTTTAGAATTTTAATGGTTTTTAGTTCTTACCTTTGAGTTAATATTTGTCTATGCTGAGGTAAGGGTTGAGGTTTATTTGTTTGTCTGTTTGTTTACCTATTTAGCACATGGCTATCCAATTGTTCCAGCACTATTGGTTAAAAAGCCTGTCCTTTCCCCACCAGATCGTCCTTTCATCTTTATCAAAAATCTAACAACTATATATGTGTGGGTCCATTTCTGGACAATTCATTTTGCTCCACTGATGTATATGTCTATTTTACCAGACTGTAAAGCCTTTGAAATATGGGCTTACACTAGTTTTAGATTTTCATTGCCTAGCACGGTGCTTTCTTCATCTATGTGGATGTTCAACTAATATTATTTGAATGACTGAATGAAGCAATAAAGATGCTCAGAGAGTTAGGAAAAACATTCAGCTTTCTCGAGCACCAAAAGTCTAACTAAGAGGTGTTCTAGATTAATTTAAAAGGCAAGATCAGGCTGAGTGTAGTGGCTCATGCTTGTAGGCCCAGCACTTTGGGAAGCCGAGGTGGGAGGATTGCTTGACCCAAGGAGTTTGAGACCAGACTAAGCAACATAGTGGAAGACTATCTCTACAAAAGATAAAAAAATTAGCCAGGCATGATGGCACATGCCTGTGGTCCCAGCTACTCAGAAGACTGAGGTGGGAGGATTCCTTGAACCGAGGAGTTGACTGTGCCACTGCACTCCAGCCTGGGTGACAGAGCGAGATCTTGTCTCAAAAATAAATGAATAAATAAATAAAATGGCACAAACTATGAAAGCCAGTTTAAAGGATAACTAACATATTTAGACTTTTAGAACCTCATGCCTTGGGTTTAAGAGCTGAGTAGGCTTTTGTTAGGACAAATATCCATTTTGACATTACCTGCCACCTGTAATTACCCTCAACAAAAAAATAACTTTCAGAATTCCTGATATTTTAACTCCATCCACCATAAATATATAATTCTGATTAATCTTAACTATTAAAACAAGGCCCTGGAAGAGAGAACTTTTGAAAGATACTCCCATAATTTCCTTATTACTGTCCAGCACAAACTCTTTGCCTAGTGACCATCTCTTGGCTGCCCCTAAACATGCCATACTTGTTCCTAATTCCCAATCTTTGCTCTTGTTCCTCTCTTTAGTGTGTTCTTTCTCTTTGTTCTCTGCCATTCTAAATCTGGGTACAATCCCAGCTCTTCCGCGAAGACTTCTTTAGTCTTTCAGGCCCACATCTCTCTTCTCTGACCTCTATCTGCTGACAAAACTAATTACATAATCAGATAATCTGATATACTCATGTTATCATTTAATAGCTTTGTGTATCTTATATGACTTGTCTCCCTAGTTACACTAGAAGTGCCTCAAGGACAGGATTCAGGGGCTGGGAGTTACATTTTCATTTTATCCTCCATAGCACTTAGCACATGAAATGGTTTCCATAGTAGATATTTAACTATTGTTTAACTAAACTTAATAAAAAATCACCCATTGAATAAATGCCTTTGAATATCAATTAGATGCCATTCCTTTAAACCCACCATTCTACTTAAAGGAATTATTTAGCTGGTGGGAGATTAGCCTTTTCTGTACTGTTACCTCATGACTAACAATGACTTTCATAAAAAGATGTGTTTCCTGCCTCTTAAAAGGACCCCACAACTGTCTCTAGGTTCTCTCTATATACAACTTTGATGAAAATTTTTTTAATTTAAAAAACATTTAAAGTTATAGAAGAGGAAGTTATAGAAGAAGATGATTTACGTATTGAAAGTTTTAAACATAGGTCACATTGATAAGGCAGAGACAAACCTAGAACCTGAAATTTCAAGGGATTCAGTTTCAGTGAGGCTTTTTTCATGCTACCCTGAATATATTTCTATTCTTTCTTTTTATCTACTGTAAATCTAACATTTGTTAGCTCCAGATGGCAGGAATTTCTGGCTCATTTAAGCACTCTGGAAGGCCAAAATTAGTATATTAGTCCCAGTGTCACTGAACTCCAAGAAGGTTTTATAGGAGGCTGAATATAAGAATATGCATGGTAGGCAGTTGCTGGACTATGCTGAACTAGGGCACAGATCCAGTTGTTCCTATTTGAGAATATAAGCTGTGTTTTCAGTTATTCTCAATTTTTTTAAAAAGAGATATTTAATGTGAACTCTCCTAATTTTAAAATGACAACCATTTTCAGTCCCTTTTATTCTTTTTTCCAAATCTCATTCTCCTTTCCCCCACATGCAACCATTCTAATGTGCGGCTTTTTGATTGTGCACTTGTGTACTGTTTTGCATGTATTTCACATTATGTAAATGTTATTATGTTATATATCTCATTTTACTTCTTTTTTTCCTACACAACATTATATTTTTAAGATACATCCATTTGTTCTCTGTGTATGTCTTGTTTATTGCTTCTAACTACTACATATTAATCAAAATGTATGTTCACCATATTTTGTTTATCCACCCTCCCAGTGATGGAAATCTCCAACTCCTTGCCTTTCTTAAAATAACACTGCATTTTTAAAAAAATACACTGTGCAGGCCAAGTAACATTTGTGGACAGGTTGAATTTAGCCTTAGACTATCAATTGTTGATAATCTCTAATGTAGTCAAACTCCTGACTCAATACTTCGAATTTCTTATCTCCTAGTTCCCAAAAATATGGTAAGAAGGAAAAAAATCAATGAAAGTATTTACGGAATTCTGTTAGCCACCCAAACTTTGTAGATGTCATTATATGTGACCAAGATGACATTTGTATCAGAAAATTCTTAAACTACCAAGTCAATAACTGAAGAAAGCCAGCTTATCTCAGGAAACAGTAAACAGCAGGTGTCTACCACCATTTTGTTGCATTCTCACTCTCCAACGTGCCAGGTTATTTTCAATCAGCAAAGAAAAAGCTGGGGTTGACACAATGGACTCCACATCTTATGAGTCACAGGCATGCCTTTTCCAATCTCAAGTCAAACCACATAGAGACTTCTTGTTTAGAAAGTAGTTGAGGTGAGAAGCAAAGTCAGGAAAGCATGTAAGGAAATGCTAAGCTATATCCTTGAATGACAATAGGCCTGTTTGAAAAATGTATTAGTAATCTAATACTAAATTGTTTCAGTTCAGAAGTCTTGCTCTACGGCACTTTAAATGAATCTCCCACTTCTGTTTTTGTTTTGTTTCCTTGAGCTGAGTATCAGTCATCTCTACCAGACTGTCTCAGAGGCATGCCTGGATCAAGAGGAAAGCAAAGGAGGAAAGTTGTGGGAAAGCCATTTTCTGAGCACCTAAGAAAATATAGCTAAAGCCTCCCAAGAATAAAGGAATAACCACGCTGATTAAGCAATTCCTTTAAGATCCTAAAAATGTACCAAGTAACAAAGGGTAAACTGAATCAAACATACTTGAATTCTCCACTAAAACCTTGGGCATACGCTGACGGTTCATTAGGAGTGGGAAAGGATCTCGCCCATCATTTCGTTCGTGAACCTCTCGAATTTCCACCGTATCATCCATAAGATAGTAATGAATGATGTAGTTCCGACATTCACCGAACATGCTGTCTGTATCATCCCAGGTCGCATAGAATCGAAGAACCTTTGAGGAATCCAAAGTAGTGACTCAAGTAAGAATCCTAAAAGTGAAGTTTAACTTAGCTACTTTGGCATTTATGTATCAGACAATGATGAAAAGATTAGCTGGAAAGACTATGAAGTAATCTCAGATGGTAAATTGAAAAAAAGAAATACTCATCAAAGACACTAAA